TGAGTGAGACTGTCTCAAAAAAAAAAAAAAAAAAGGTGGGGGGGACTCCCTGCTAATTAGATTTTTTCCACTTAAAGGAAATAATGCATGCATGTCAGAGGTCACTGTACATTTACTCTCAGTTGTGCTCTAATAAGGATTACTTATTGAAGATCTGTTTAAACCTTCTCTTAACTGCTTCCATATAGCAGTGGCTGCATGTGGCCCTCTCAATCACAGAGATAACAATCCTATAAAAGAAAGAAGACACTGTGCCTCGACTGAAATGCAGTGGAGAAGGAATCCTTACTCTGGAGCAAATCTTGAATCCCCCTGGAAAGGGTTAACTTACTTACTTTATTTATTTATTTATTTTTTGAGATGGAGTTGCACTCTGTCGCCCAGGCTGGAGTGCAGTGGCACAATCTCAGCTCACTGCAACCTCCGCCTCTCGGGTTCAAGGGACTTTCCAGCCTCAGCCTCCTGAGTAGCTGGGACTATAGGCACATGCCACCACGCCCGGCTAATTTTTTGTATTTTTAGTAGAAACGGGGCTCTTAACCGTGTTAGCCAGGATGGCCTCAATCTCTTGACCTCGTGATCTGTCCACCTTGGCTTCCCAAAGTGCTGGGATTACAGGCATGAGCCACCACACCTAGCCCAAAGTGTTAACAGTATTATAGTATATGCATGGAATCAGCCACTATATATCTATTCTCCCAATTTCCAAATACTATTTCAAGTCATATTTTCTATTTGTATTTTTCTCTATCATTTACCTACTCACGTACCAGTTTCTGTCTGCTAAATTTAATCATATCTGAAGATGCAAAAGTCCTATAAAAGACACTGAGAGCTGGTCCAGATAATTGGACCAAAAAAGTTTTTGTTGTTGTTGTGTTTTTTTTAAACGGAGTCTCACTTTGTCACCCAGGCTGGAGTGCAGTGGCATGATCCTTGCTCACCACAACCCTGCTTCCTAGTTCAAGCAATTCTTCTGTCTCAGCCTCCCGAGTAGCTGGGATTATAGGCATGTGTCACAATGCCTGGCTAATTTTTTTTTTTTGTATTTTTAGTGGAGATGGGGTTTTACCATGTTAGCCAGGATGGTCTTGAACTCCTGACCTCAAGTGATCTTCCCACCTCAGCCTCCCAAAGTGCTGGGATTACAGGTCAGCCACCATGCCCAGCCTTAAAAAAATTTAAGCAATACCCTATTAAGCCTATTTAGGTCCTTCTTGACCGTACCTATACTTTTATATGTGTAATTATAGAGACCAATAAACCAAAATAAAAATAAACAACTGGCCACATACAGTGTCTCACACCTGTAATCCTAGCATTTTGGGAGGCCATGGTGGTCATATCACTTGAGCTCAGGAGTTCAAGACCAGCCTGGCAACATGGTGAAACCCTGTCTCTACCAAAAATACAAAAACTCAGCACATGCCTGTGGTCCCAGCTACTCGGGAGGCTGAGGTGAGAGGATCACTTTAGCCTTGGCGGCAGAGGTTGCAATGAGCTGAGATCACGCCACTGTACTCCAGCCTGGGTGACAGAGTGAGACCCTGTCTCAAAAATAAAATAAAATAAACAACTAAAAACAAACAACTTTCAACTTCTATCATCCTGGACTAAGCCCTTGTTATTTCTTACCTAAACTTCAGCAGCATCCTCCAAATTCCTCTAGCGTACCTGTCAGGATACTACACACTCTCAAATAACCACTATTAGTAAATCATCTTTTTTTTTTTTTTTTTTGAGACGGAGTTTCGCTCTTGTTACCCAGGCTGGAGTGCAATGGCACGATCTCGGCTCACCGCAACCTCCGCCTCCTGGGTTCAGGCAATTCTCCTGCCTCAGCCTCCTGAGTAGCTGGGATTACAGGCACGCGCCACCGTGCCCAGCTAATTTTTTGTAGTTTTAGTAGAGACGAGGTTTCACCATGTTGACCAGGATGGTCTCGATCTCTTGACCTCGTGGTCCACCCGCCTCGGCCTCCCAAAGTGCTGGGATTACAGGCTTGAGCCACCGCGCCCGGCTGCGAGTAAATCTTCTTAAGAGATAGCTCCCATGACAACAAATGCCTTCCATCAATTTCTAACAAGATAGCACTAATTTACTCTCCTAAGCTCACCTTCAACTCCAGAGAACAGTCTATACTTTAGCCAAATTGAATTACTCCCTAGGTAGTAAAGAATGTTGGCCAGGCATGGTGGCTCACGCCTGTAATCCCACCACTTTGGGAGGCTGAGGCGGGCAGTCCCCTGAGGTCAGGAGTTCGAGACCAGCCTGGCCAACATGGTGAAACCCCGTTTCTACTAAAAATAGAAAAAATTAGCTGAGCTTGGTGGTGCTTGTTAGGCCTCCGAGTCCAGGCCTGGCCATTTTAGCCTTGGTGACCTGCACATACACCTCTGGAAAGTTCCCAGGAGCCAAAAGGTCTAAAGTAACTACAAGTGATCAGGTGGCCACAGAAAGAAGTAAAACAACTTGTTCCTGCCTTGACGAATTGCTCTGCAAACCTGTACCCATTGTTCCTGTTTAGCCTTGCAAAAATTTCTGCCAGAAACTGGGTTTCTCAAGACCCCCACCCCTGTGACTATGTCATCCACTGCACCCTCCCTTCTGACTGCAACTGATACTCCCCACCCTTATGATCATGTCTGTTTTCCTCTACCCTTGTGATCATGCATCCCATGATGCCCTCCCCGTTCCCAAGACAGATAACCATCTTTAGCTAACCATTTGCCCCAACCTATATAATCAATCCCCTCTCCTACACCCTTTGCCTAACTCCTTTCTTGGACTTGGCCCGCTTGCACCCAAGCGTGAAATAAACGGCCTTGTTGCCCACACAAAGCCTGTCTGCTGGTCTCTTTACATGAGCGACACTTGTTAACAATTGGTGCTGAAACCCAGGACAGAAGAACTCCCACAGGAGATCAAACCCCCTGTCCCTACCCCTTGTGCTCCCTCCGTGGAGAGACCTACCCACGACCTAGGCTCATCAGACCAGCCAGCGAATCCACTCACCATCATCAGATCAGGTAAGCAGTTTGCCTTAGCTCTTCTTTTGCCTTTCTCACTATCAGCTTCCTTCTCCTTTCAGTTTCATTTTCCTCTGCCTTTCAGCGGAGACAAGAAAGACAGGACTTTCTGTGAGGTTCATGACCGGAAAAAAATCCTACATAGGTCATGGAACCGGGAAGACAGTCTTCCCTTGGTGACTGATCATCGCAGAGAAGTCTGCTTTGATAACTCACTTGCACTCCTTCGGTGACTGATCACTGCGGAAACATCTGCTCTGGTCGCTCACACTCGTAGGGTGACAGATAATGCAGGGGATGCCCCCTTTGACGGATTCACCCCAGGTTCAGACCAACTTTTAGTGTAGGAAGCCTGCTAAACTGCTTGGTCACGCGTTCACTTTTCTTGTCTTCACCGCTCTTAAACTATGGGCAACCTCCCGCCCTCCATTCCTCTCTCCTGCCCCTTAGCCTGCGTTCTAAAAAAAAACACCTCAAACGTATCCAGCTATCATCTGACCTAAAACCTAATCATCTTATTTTCTTTTGCAATACCGCTTGGCCATAATATAAATTGGACAATGGCCCTAACTGGCCAGAAAATAGCACCTTTGATTTTTCTATCTTGCAGGATCTAGACAACTTTTGTCATAAAATGGGCAAATGGTCTGAAATCCCCTATGTGCAGGCATTTTTCACACTTTGCTCCCTTCCCAGCCTCTGCTCCCAGTGGGACCCCTCTCAAATTCTCCTCCTTTCTCTTCCACCTGCACCCCGTCCCTACTGCCAACGCAGATTCTTCAATCTCAATAGATCCTTCTGACCTTTCCCTTCCCCCTCAAGCTGCCCCTCATCAGGCCAAACCAAACCCTAATCTCCCTTCTGCCCCTCACGTCTGACCAGAGCAGACGTCTCCGCAATGATCAGTCACCCTCCCTCTTATACTTCCTCTGTCACTTCTCCCTTCTACACCTGCTCCAGGACACAATTCAGCCTTAAAAGTAGCTCTCTGTCCCCTGCCCAACAGTTTTTCCTTCCAGAGGTGGCTGGAGCCGAGGGCATAGTCAGGGTGCATGTTCCTTTTTCTCTGTCCGATCTGTCCCAAATTGGGTCAGCGCTTAAAATCTTCCTCATCAGATTCCACTAAATAGATCCAAGAGTTCCAATCTCAGTCCTGCAATTTAACCCGGAATGACTTAAATGTCATTCTAACCTCTATTCTTTCTCCAGGTGAACGAAATAGGGTTTATATTCTGGCTCAATCTTATGCTGACACCCGCAGATACCATGAGCCAGCCCTCCAAGAGGGCATCAGGGCAGTACCTAGGGAAGAACCCAATTGGCAATACCAGGTGGGCTCACCTGACATCGCCAAGTGAGACTATATGGTCTCTTGCTTGGTTGAGGGACTTAACCAGGCAGCTTACAAAGTTGTTAATTATGACAAGCTTAAGGAAACAACCCAGGGCAAACATGAAAATCCTGCCCAATTCATGCCCACCTGGCAGAAACTCTCAGATGCTTCACAGCGCTAGTCCCAGAGGGGCCACAGGGCTGCCTTATTCTCAATATGCATTTTATTACCCAATCTACCCCAGACATTAGGAAAAAACTTCAAAAACTAGACTCAGGCCCTCAAACCACACAATAGGAATTAATCAACCTGGCCTTCAAGGTGTTTAACAATAGGGAGGAGGCACCAAGCACAGCAACAACCCATTTCAGAGCTAAAATTGCTTGCCTCCATGGTAAGGCAAACCCCAGCCACTATTTCAACAACAAGGAACCTCCAGGCACCAAGGCGTGTGCTCCATCAAGCCATCCTCCTCTAGGGCCTTGCTTCAAATGCCAGAAAACTGGCCACTGGGCTAGGGAGTACCCATAGCCTGGGGCTCCATCTTGCCTTAAATGCCAAAAGCTTTGACATTGGGCTAATAAATGCTCACAGCCGAAGCCCCTGTCTAAGCCATGTCCTGTCTGTGGGGGAACCCACTGGAAATTAGACTGTCCGGCTCACATTATAGACACTCTCAAGGCTCCTGGAGTTCAAACCCAATATTTTCCAGCCGACTGTTTTCCAGAACTTCTCAGGTTAGCAACTGAAGATTGACGCTGCCCGACTGCTTCAGAAGCCCCCTGGACCATCACGGATGCCGAGCTTTGGGTAACTCTTACCGTGGAGGGTAAGTCCATCCCTTTTTTAGTCAATACAGGAGCTACCCACTCCACATTACCTTCTTTTCAAGGACCTGTTTCCTTAGCCCCTTTAACTGTTGTGGGAATTGATGACCAGGCTTCAAAAACTCTCAAAACCCCTCAACTCTGGTGTCAACTTGGGCAACACTCCTTTACTCACTCCTTCCTAGTCACCCCCATATGCCCTGTTCCCTTATTAGGGCCAGATATTTTAACCAAACTGTCTGCTATCCTGACTATTCCAGGACTACAGCCACATCTCATAGCTGCCCTCTTACCTGACCCAAAGCCTACCACACAGCCTCCTATCACGTCTCCTCACCTTAACCTTCAGGTCTGGGACACCTCTACTCCATCCTTAGCAACCAGCCACGCACCTGTCACTATCCCCCTAAAACTCAATCACCCCTGCCCTGCCCAATGGCAATACCCCATTCCCCAACAAGCTCTAAAGAGACTACAACCTGTCATCACCTGCCTGTTACAACATGGTCTCCTAAAGCCTACTAACTCTCCTTACAACTCTATCTTCCCTGTCCAGAAACCAGACAAATCCTATGGGCTAGTTCAAGACCTTAGCCTTACAAATTGTCCTTCCTATCCATCTTGTAGTGCCAACCCATATACTCTCCTATCTTCAATTCCTCCCTCCACAACTCATTATTCTGTACTCGATCTCAAAGATGCCTTTGCATCCCCTTACACCCCCGCCTCCCAACCTCTATTTACCTTCACTCGGACTGACCCTGGCACCCACCAGTCACAACAACTCACCTGGACTGTCTTGCCTCAGGGCTTCAGGGACAGCCCACACTACTTCAGTCAGGCCCTCGCTCACACTCACAACCTGCTCTCTTTCTGTCTTTCAACTTCTCACCTTAATCAATACGTGGACAACCTCCTGTGCAGCCCCTCTTATGAAACTTCTCAGCAAGATATTCTCCTGCTTCTTTAGCACTCTCGTGTCCCCTTCTAAGGCCCAGATTTCTTCTCCATCTGTCACTTATCTGGGCATCATCATCCAACAAAATACCCGTGCTCTCCCCACCAACTGTATCCAGTTAATCTCCTCAACCCCAACTCCCTCTACCAAACAGCAGCTCCTTTCCTTCCTGAGTGTAGTTGGATACTTTCGCCTTTGGATACCAGGTTTTGCCATTTTTACCAAACCCCTATATAAGCTCACCAAGGGAAACTTACCCAACCCCACAGATCCTAAATCCTTTCCTCACTCTTCTTTTTGCTCTTTAAAAACAGCTCTAAAAATAGCTCTAGAAACTGCTCCTGCACTGGCTCTCCCCAACTCTTTTCCTTATATACTGCTGAAATGCAGGGTTGTGCAGTTAGAGTTCTTACACAAGAGCCAAGTCCACGTCCTGCTGCCTTCCTCTCTAAACAACTTGATCTCACTGTCCTAGGCTGGCCCTCATGCCTGTGTACAGCAGCTGCCTCTGCTCTACTCCTTCTTGCGGCTTTCAAAATCACAGGCTATGCCTCACTCTATACAGCTCTCACAACCTTCAAGCTTTAGTATCCTCCTCACATCTCCCACATCTGTTATCTGCCCCATGTCTTATCCAACTGTATTCACTCTTTATACAAACTCTCACTGTGACTATTGCACATGGCCCCGATTTTAATCCGGCCTCTCATCTAATACCAAACATAAACACAAGCCCCAAACCCCATGACTGTATATCCTTAATTCATATAACATCCTCCCCCTTTCCATATATTTCTCTCTTTCCCATTCCAGACCCAGATCACACATAGTTTATTGATGGCAGTTCTTCAGAGCTCAGTCAGCACCAGCTAAAGCGGCTGTATCCCATTCATCTACCATTGAGGCTGCTACACTTCCTCCCCCACCACTTCTCAGCAAGCTGAACTAATTGCTTTAACCCGTGCTCTCACTCTTGCTAAGGGACTATGTGTAAATATCTATACTGACTCTAAATATGCCTTCCACATCCTACACCACCATGCTGCTATATGGGCAGAAAGAGGCTTTCTCACTACACAGGGATCTTAATATTATCAATGCTCCCTTAATGCAGGCCCTCCTTCAGGCTGCTGCTCTCCGCCCAGCCAAGGCTGGAGTTGTCCACTGTAAAGGGCACCAGAAAACTTTAGATCCCATTGCCCAAGGAAATGCTTTTGCCAATGAAACAGCTAAAAAGGCAGCAAGCCACCAGTGTCCCCTCCTAGCAGACATTTTTCTTTCTCATCAATTACCACTATTGTCCTTCTGAATCCTTAATCTATCAGTCACTTCCCACTCAAGGAAATTGGTTTTTGGATCAAGGAAAATTCCTTCTTCCTGCCTCATAAGCCCATTCTGTCCTCTCTTCCTTCCACAACCGTTTTCATGTGGGATATAAGCCTTTGGCCCATCTCTTAGAACCTCGTCTCCTTCCCTTCATGGAAGTCCGTACTTAAAATAATTACATGCCAGTGCTCCATCTGCCACTCCACCAACCCCCAGGGATTTTTAAAACCTCCTCCCTTCCCCACTCACCAAGCACCGGGATTTACCCCCACGCAAGATTGGCAGATTGACTTTACTCATATGCCCCATGTCAAGAAATTTAAGTATCTTCTTGTATGGGTAGACCTTTACAGGATGGGTTAAGGCCTTCGCTACTGGAACAGAAAAGGCCACTGCTATTATTTGTCTGTTAAGTGATATCATTTCCTTATTTAGCCTGCCTACTTCTATCCAATCTGAAAATGGCCCTGCTTTCATTAGCCAAATCACTCAAGCAGTCTCTCAGGCCCTTAGCATTCAATGGAATCTTCACACCCCTTACCACCCTTAGTCATCAGAGAAAGTAGAGAAAGCTAATGGCCTCCTAAAAACACATCTTACCAAGCTCACCCTTCAACTAAAGAAAGACTGGGTATCCCTTCTACTTATTGCTCTTCTCCGAATTCATGCCACTCCCCAGGAACCCACAGGATATAGCTCCTTTGAACTCTTATATGGCCGCACCTTTCTGTTTGGGCCTAACTTTCTCCTAGACACTAGTCCTCTT